CGACCTTTTCTCGCAATATATCTTTATCATAACGGCCCTGCCTAAGACGTCCACCTATCACGACAATGGATGACCATTATGGACAATTTCATGTGCACTTGATAAAAATTCTCTCCGCACAGGAATGGAACTCAGACCTTCCGCATGCCTTCACAAAGCACCTAACCGCAACACCTCAGACGCCGGTATAAAATCGAGATAAGTAATGCAATTCCAACCGCCAGGGGTGACGTCGGTAGTCTTATGGCGGGGCTACCGAACCCATAATCGTGTGCTTAATCGCGGATTTAAGGGGTTGAGCTTCAGCTCGGTCCGACATTGTGTCCTTGGGAAATGCACTTTACATGAATTTTCCATTTGGCTCTGTCCTCTCGAGGATGGCCTTTGAAGTCGGAAGTCCAGCCTCTAAAATAATCTAATAGTGTTGAGGCGATAAACGTATATCATTTCACCATTTTTCAACCTCCATGCGCAGTTTACCCTTAATGTTTTCCCCACTGTATTACCTGTTACCCTTTGATATAACACTGAAACAACATGTAGGATAAGTCTATTTTTTATATCTTAGTATTTACCTTTGCTGAAGCTTACTTTGACTAACTAGTTGTAAAATGTGTAGGCCTCCATTGACAAATTACCACTGTCTGTTCTGTAGCGTTTATGTGTATAGCCGTCGTACGCAGAAGACTGAGTTCGATTTGTGTGTTGGGGAAATTTTTATCGAGTATCTCAGTCTTTCTGTTGGTATATTATATCCTTTTCAAATCGTTTTTCTAATAAATGATCTAAACACTGTCAATGGGGTATAAAGAAACCACCTTAATTTGAAAAAAAAGGTCGACTTATGATAGATTCGAGAGAAGAGCCAAATATATCCTGGATACGAGGTTAACGTCCCTGAAGAAAGACTGAAATATTCAGGACAAATTTTTTACAACTGGGGAATGGAACTTACTTCTTGTATTTACCGTAAACCCACGCACTACATACAGTCTGCTGGCTGAGACCCACGCAAAAATAAAAAGTCAGACAAACAAAAAAGCAAACACATGAAACACAGGCAACCTAAAAATCTCAAGTCAACGTCATGATGCCAACTTCTGCTTCAAAAAGTCGTCTCCCCAAAAACTGATTACGTCATTCCAGGAGCACAATAAGCTGTGTCGGTTACCGCCAAAGAGTCGAGCAGGATACCTTTGTCTCTTTAGTTTACTCAGACGGAAGTGTGTTTGTTCCCAGATTTTCTCATCCTTCCTCTGCAAATAAACTTCAACTCAGCCAATCTGGCCCCTCCAGACGGCGTTTAATTTACTGTTCTCCCGGAGCGATATTTATTGTTGAATGGTTTTCCTCTTTTCTCTCTGTAGTTTCTCTCCATCTATATATATCTCAATCTGTCTTGTCTTCCTGTTTTTTGCGTTTTTCTTTTTCATTCTCTCTCTCTTT